GAAAAATTACCCCTATTTAGGACTATTAAGAATATATTATGGACTATACAAACACGTAGATAATTTATTATTATATATACTATTTCCACTAATTCCTCTACAATAGGGTAGAATTTTAATCAAAAAAGAATTTTGATTCTTTGAGCTTCGAAAATTTGTTACTCTTTACAAATAGCGAAGACATATTTATATATTCGAATTACTATCAGTACCTAAAACTAGAAGAACCCTATTGTATTAATTAATCATACCATCCCTTAAACTCCGATTCCCGTTTACCTGTCTCAGCCTACAGATTTTCAGCTAATTAAAGCTACATTAATATTAAGGGAGCGAAACACGGAATTGCCGGTTGGTTTCGTTACTGATTCCAATTAGGAAGTGCAAACATGCCCTCCTCCGTGATGAAAATGGAACTTGGAATAGCACCTCCGATAGCAGCGAGGCTTAACAAACGTAAGATAATGCCAGGAAACGTCGAGACTCCGGCGCGAGGTCGCGGATGAACCTACGTGTAACACCTTTCCATCCATGATCCCTCCACTCAGCCATATAATTACACGAACCTCCCTTTTCGCGTTAATAACGATCCACGCGAGTCCCGCTATTAAATTACAGATTTTTGTCACGGTCCAGCGAGCAGGCGAGCTTGAGAAACTCTGGTCAGGTATGCCAGGAAAATATATAAACAGGGTTCCCACAAAACGCAGAAGTCCATCGGTTGACAGGCAGCAGGGTGCGCGTTGGTTCATTGTTGCCTCATTGTTGCGGATTCCTTCACCTTTATACCCGTATCTCCGGCTATCTCCTTCGTTTCTCGCACTCCGAGAGTCTCCAAACGTTACCGACAGAGAGAACAGAGGGACCCTGAGAGTGGAAGGACGTCGAATTTAGCTCTCATTGTGAGCAGCTCCGGACACCCCCACTGCGATGGAAATGCCCTCGAAAGTAAATAAAAAGGAGAAATAGGGAGGGAAAAAAGGGATAAACGAAAGGGACGAAGAGGGAGTGTAGAGAGGAGAGACACGGAAGGCAAGAGTTGGGAAAAAAGAGGTGTAGCCCTTCCGTTCGTTGAAACGTGTCCCGAAAGGGAGCACCGTGTCCGAGACGAATCGTTCGACTCGAAATCCCCGGTGTTCCAGAGAGGAAACGGTTATGTCTACTATTAGACGACCACGTGTACAGTGAGCACCCACTGTGACGCGAGCAACACCGAGTGCCGAGGAAGATCCGCGTATGAGACTCAACCCTTGATCGCAGGGTAAATTGGAGGATAATGAAGGAAGACTGCTCTCATCTTTGATAGAGAAGAACAAGGGAACCGTACTCCTTTTGTGAGCGTGCTTTCAGCCGAGCTCTCGCTCCTCGTGGTAGCTAATGTTCTCCTGATTGGATGTTCCTGACGTGAAAGAAGGCAGCTCGCGTTGGCAGTTACCTTTTTCTCAACGAAGGTGTTTGGCTTCGAGTGTCTTGGAAAGTCCTCACGGTTTGTTAGCATTGTAAATATTTTTTACCACTCTGGTCCAAGTCGAAGATCCTAAAGAGACGATTCTGAGACGCTTACTTCCCGTTGTATTTATTCATATCGCGACATTTCTCAGTGGACAGAATGTAATAAGATCCAATTTGTAATTAATAGGTCTGTATACTAATTAGAGATCTTGGACTCGGATAATGAAGTACCGTTCGTCCAGCAAGAGGAATTACAATAATTTCTAGCATCCAAATCTTAGGTTAGCTCTCTAATAAATAGCATGGAACTGTTAGGGATCCATTAACTATACATTCGAAGCTTGTTACGCTGATACAGAAATTCCCATCATAGGTGGCCTCTCTAATCTCCTATATTTCTTCAACTCGGATATATCGAATTTAAATTTTCTCTGTCATTAACGTTCAGTCGTTAACGATCTGTCACAACCTTTCTCCACTCGACACAGAATTTTATCGAAAATTCGGGGATCAGAAACTGAGCGAAAAATGCGATTATTCTGAGACAGAGCGGGAATTCTTCTGGAATTCGTATTGTTTGGGTGTTTAAGATGTACTCCAGAGTTGGTACGTTTCACGATGTATTTTACAAAGCATATGGAGTTGCCGTGTACGGCTGCGACGTTTTTCTAGACCAGTCGTAGCCCCGCGACGTCGTGATACTTTCATGAAAGAGAATTTGGGAAGAACGCGAGGAAAAAGGGAATACCGAAACACGTTCGGCATCATGACGGTGTATCTCGAAGCGTTTGTCTGCGAATACGAGTAAGTAGCACCCACTCAATATTTCAACCTTTCAAGGCCATCGCCGGTAGCAGAAGACAGTTTCCAAGGTAGTATTGAGTGTCAGTGTCATCCTAGAACCCTGGCGTAGCTAGCTACCTGCAATGTTGGCGAAACTTTCCAGGCGAGGAAGAAAGGGCATTGTTTACACTTGAAAGCCTTGAAATTCATAGGCGCAACGAGGTACTAAAAGAATCCATTATAATCGCTGCCCTTTGCTAAAAAGCAACTGTCCCACCCCAGGAGTGGATGAACGTAAATTCTCGTCCCTTGGAGCTAATTTTAAACGATTACGTCCTGTCCAGTGACAAAGGATTTTCAGAAATTTCTTGCCAATGAATCGACCAATTTCCCCGATATGGTGAGCTAATTATCTATTCTTAATGGTATCGGGGGAAGGCATCTACGTTAGTCACCGAGCTTCTTGGAATGGACAATAGGCTTGTTACGTCGAAATGGAGATTATGTAACGAGAGTGACACAATGGCAAGAATTTTGGGCACGACGGAATATTTTCATGGTTGTCTATCGAGTTTGAGTTTGAAAGAACGAAATATACCAGTTGAGTGAAAGCGTATCAACCCTAACCACAATTTCGAATCTTTTGATGATCAATTTTTGTCAGCAATAATGACACTAGGTATCAAACTAGGTATTCTTAAAAAGTTAACCGAGACTTTAATTATTAACACTAGATTTACGGACCGAGTCAATTTGACTCATTAAAAATTTGATTAGTATATATATATGTATAACTTAAATATTAGTTTTAAAAAACATATGTTGGTTTTTAGTTATTTAATGAAACATATGTAAATGTTGATTCCTGTGCCCCACAGACCCCTTCATTTCGCATTATCGAATATGGTATACCTATTTTTACGGTTGTGTGCCAATTTGACTCATAAAATGATTTAACAGTCAATGAATTTTTTAATAATAATTCTTGCATTTAATATTTCCTTTTCAAAAAATTTCAATTTTCTTGTACGAGTCAAATTGGCTTACTTCGGTAAAAATACGAATATAATCTAGTATTAAAATAAAATGTTCTTACGAAGCAAAATTGAAATCTCGAATGTGAGAAAAGAAAATGGCGAATCCGGGGAGTTTAAAAAATTGCGAAGATCTCTAAATGTTACAAACTTCTGGATTTAAATATCGGAAATTCTGAAATTTTTATAGCCAGATATTTGCAGTTTTTATAATGCAATCTCGAGGTTCCTTCTTCAACGGAGAAACGTCGACGACGACGTTTCTACGCCGGAAGTGTCGTCCCCCGTGGCCGTTTAAGGTCGTTTCGCAATCCCACGAGGCCCCAAAGTGAGGCTCTCTCCCCTTTGAGCAGTTTACGGCATCGATCTCGAACGGTGGAAATATTTATTCGCCGTTAGAAAATCCCGGGTACACTTGGTGTGGCCGGGTCTGTTGGTACACAACGCCAATGGAGTTTGTTGTGACGCACAATGTTTCCCTTCCCTTTCTTCTCTTCACGCATCTGTGGGCCCACCCAAGGGGCCCGGGGCACCTATAGGGCACCTATACACCGTGAAGTCGTTTCTGTGACATAGGTTCTATGGTTACCGCAAGCTTGTTACTTAAGCCGATGGCAAAGTGCTTGGAAAAAACTAGCCGTGGCTATTCCCGTGAATTTCGTGTCGCGAGATAATATAATATTACGTAATCCGTTTAATAAAGTGATTCGAACGGTTGGACTATGGTAGATAGAAAGGACACGAAGCCAGAGAAATTTAATATCAAGTTTCTCAAACCTTAACGTGACTTATGGACCGTCTGAGCAATTTCTGATACAACTCGATGTTGCTTACAAATTACATTGAGGTCGATGATTAATTACACCGTGGTATCGTTGAGAATTCGATGCAGCATGAGAGCATCCATGCGACATTAGATACTTAGGTAATTCGAATCAAAGATGAATTCTTCTTCACCTCAAAATAAAAAGAAAAAAAAGAGGTAGAAATTCATCGCGAAATTTATCGTAATTAAGCACCATAACAATCCCAACGATATAATCGTTCAGATTTCTCAACGAGTTTCGCTTCATCGAGCGAGAACTAGAACCGGAAGTACAATACGAGGGACTCTTACAGTACAATAGCGAGCTCAGCTTAATTGCAATATTCGTTAATCACTTGGACATAGTTATTAACGAGGTGTTCTCACTTTTCGATTGGAATAGGATCCGCAGAATTCAAAATTTGCCTGAATGCGATATCAGTTGAACAAATTGCGTCATGAACACCCCTTGTGGCGTTAAATACGTGAAGCCCAGGTTTGCAAGGCTCCCTTTCCTATGAAGACGTTTGACCCCCACTTTGTTTCGTCGAAAAACGAAAGGAAATTATATATCGTAAACACTCGACGATATTAACCTCTTGTCCTACGATTTAAATTCCAATGGCACGTGTCATAGTCGACAACAGAGTCCGTCACACGCCGAGCCATTTCGAGAATAACACGTGATAGCCACGAGTCTGGCTAACGGAAATAATAAACGTTGCAGAAGCACGTGTAAATTACTATTTTTCTAGCTACACAGATTACTAGCTTTACGAAATAAACGCGTAGGTATGTATTCTGTGTCCAACGACAACCCCCATACTGATTCCTCTACTATTGGTCGCGGACCACACCACCACCCACCCCAAATATTTCTTAGAACAGTGAAAAAATTGTATGCATATGAAATAAATATCACTCACCAAACTCTCGTTCGAAGATTCTCAAAGTTCCGGTGGGGCGTGGCACGATGAACAGGAAAATCGGTCTCACGACGAGCCACTTGTCCGAACACGTCGAAGAATAACAAGTAACTGAGACGGAAAGACATCGGCGATAAGGTCGGTCACATGTCGAGCCATGCCTTGTCCAAAGACGTCGAGGAATAATAACATAACTGAAACAGGAAAACATAGGCGAAAATTAACTACGAGCCTGACACGTGCTGTCCACATTGGTCCTCGTCAAGAAATCACGTGTCTCACCCGTGATACTCATGTTTGGTCCGATACCATACCATGCGTTTCACTCGACATTACAGGCGAAGGGGTTAAATAACGTAGCTTATACTTCTAAATGAAATATACATACTTTGGAGGTATTTTTAAGTATCATGAGAGCTTAATATTTATATTCAGGAGATTTCGCGTTCGTATCTCGTAAAACTGGAATATTGAAAAGAATTAACGAGGAAAAATATCCGTGGCTAGTGCTCATGTCTGTTTCCAGTTCCACGGATCAACCATAATCCAAGATGGCCGCCGATCGCGCAAGAAATCGGCATCCACCGAGAACACCCACGACTGTGTACCCGGTAAAGGCAAGGAGGAAGGCCCAATACGAATGGAAGAAGAGGCGGAGGAGACAGAAACGGTTAATTATCCGACAGGTACGTGTCACAGATGAAAACCCATCGGCCACACGTCCTCCCGAATCAATCGTGCGAAAAGCAACGCGGCACGAGTGAACAGTTAAGCAAAAAGGAGGAGGAGACGGCTCGATAAAAACCGGTTTTCGGCGCAAATCAAACTATTCAGCGTGTTTCCATGGCGTGGACCATGGCGAAATGACCAGGCCAACAGGCTGGTTGATCACCAGAAACCGACTGCGCGTCGTTCAACGATCATGCTTTATCTCCGCTGCCGATCTCGCGCGTTTTCAAACCTGTTTAGGACATCGACGATTTCTTCTTTCCTTTTTCTTTTCTCTTCTTTTCATATCCACCTTCCGGCGATAATAAATATTCCTCTTCTTCGGGCGAAAGGTTATCGCGGGCTTGTTAATTTTCAAATGTCTAATTTATTCCGGGGTCCGTGTCTGACGAGGCGCCGCGACGGACGAAAGGCTAGCGACGGTCATCGACTACGCGTGACAATATGGCGGCCGACGCGCGTAATTCAAACCGTGCCGTGACGTATATTATCATCCGGCAGGTCTTTAACGCCAACGTCAATTTCGGTTTCTTTCACGCGGCCTCCTTATCTCGCCTTGTTACCAACGGGATCAAACGGAGTTCGATGCCTCTCTCGTAACGAGATTACGTCACGTCTTTACTTGGACTAATAAAGCATTAGCCTCGTGGATGCCGTACACGATGGGTCGCCGATATTTTTATTATCGGGGACGATACGTCGGGGAAACCCGTGTGGCGTGTCTCCTTAGATAAATTCGGTGTTTGAAAAATGGAACTCGGCGGGATGGTTTTCACGAGACTGCGAGGACGCGATGACGATACGAGCCCCAATTAGGTAGGGTATAAAGTATAGATGCGATGGTTTATAGCTCCGTCTTACAGAATTGGAATCATAAAATATCCATCCGACGAGTTCGCCCCGATTCCCTTGCAGCTAATGACACGGTGTAACCAAAGGGATTATAGAAATTCCAATAGCTCTTCCGTTACTTTATAATCAGATTATCGCGTCCTTATCCCTGCCATCGTGGCTGAAAACCGTACGAACGAACGATCTCGTATACTTGATATCCAATTTACGCTGAAACTTCGTAAGCCGACGAGATGAAAACGAGCAGGAGAAAGAAGCTATCAACGTCGTGGCGGAATAAAAGAATTCCTCGTAACCTCTTACTTAATGTTACCTCGTTCAGAAGTAAATTGTGCTTTTCAGTAGACCAGAGCTCTGTATACCACGTTTATTATGCGATATTTTTACGTTTACCAGTTATACTCTTCTCTTCCACGGTCAATTATTATTAGTTTGCCCTGTCGGCGAAGCAATGCGCGGTAACTTAAGAGAGGAAAGCACCCTCGAGAATTTCCTCGACTCCATAGTCCCAGATTTCTATGGCAACGAAATAAATCTAATTGTATCTCGTTAGAAAAGGTATATACTTTATTCCCGTTAAAGCCGTGCGTTTCAAGTAAATCTATGTAACTTTCCACTTATAACCAAACGCAAACGCAGCGTGAGTCACGCGCAGCGATACGTCATCGTCATCAGCGTTGAAAGGGTTACTAATCGCGATGGAAGAAGTCATTGTCCCGGGATAAAAATGTGGAATACGAAGGAAGGAAATATTAACGCGATACTATCTCGTCAAAACCATCTTGGTGCACAGTCCACGACCGAAAACCATCGGTCCCTCGCCGCGATATCCATCCGAATGAAATTCGCCGAGGTATTCGTAGACGATGAAGAAAAGTCGATCTCTTTAGAAGCCAGCCAGCCGCCCCGTAAAAACAATCGGGCGCAAGGAATTCGGGATAAATTTCTCGGACACGTAGCAGGTAATCGGGTAAACACTTCGTGGCCCGGCCGGATACGATATTTATGCGCATAACCCGTGCATTTTTGTGGTAATTTATTCGGCGCACGTTAAGCGAGTAGCACACGAGTCCGGACCGCGCTCTCGATAAACAAAGATCGTTGAATAAACGTTGAAATCTGAAACAAACGGTTCCCTCCGGCCGCAGAGTTTACCATCTCCAACCCTTGGTCCCGCCGCCCCCGTCACGCCGTCCTGGTTTTGCCATGCAAAAATAATGCGCAAAGTTTCGTGGCTCGTTGTCGCGATATAATTAGATACGATGAGTCAACGTCCTCCTCTTTCAACATCATTCCATTACAATTTTTCCCGCGTACCTGTCCCGCTTTGTTCGACACGCTCCACTATGAGGAAACGCTCGGCTCTATCGGTACCGGTTTCTTTAATGCCGCGCTCTTCGAGGAGTTCCGCGTTGTAACTAGACCGTCTGCGATTTTCGAGAATGAAAAATTCCCATCGTGGAGTATATCTCTCGGATGAATCGTTCGACTACGTTCCACTACGTGGAAACGATCGGCTCCGATCGCAATCGGTTTCTCCGACGTTGCGTTCCTTAAGACGTCCTCTGTCGTATAATAACCGACTACGTCTCCAATTTTGGGAAAGGATTCACACACGGCGAGTACATCCTCGGAATAATCGGCGCAAAGACAGATCTACGAAGATGCAAGAATTCGTAGATCTCGAAACGATCAAAAACTTTCGCGCCAGCGTGCTTCAACTTCAAAGCACGTACTTTCGGTACGAGACTTTGTCGGGGCCCGCTATTGAATGATTCATCCCTGGTAAATTCAACGAATCTTCGCGCGTGGTTCGCCGCTTAGTTTATCCTTTCCGCGAAAGAAACAGGATTTGTTCAAAACAAGCCACGACCAGCTGAAAAGTGCGGCTACTTTATGATATAATTTTTTGCATCCCCAACAAAATCCTGAGCACCTCGTTTGTAAGGTATTCGAAACGCAGGCTCGCCTTCTATTTCTATTTTCTCTCCTAATTAAGGAAGATAAATCGCGCGAGACTCGAAAGGGGACCAACAAAAATATCGCGCAGAAACTGGCCGGAGAGGGAACCAGAAATGGAAATGTACTTTTTCAATGGGGCTACTTTCGAGCAGCGGCTCTCGACGAATTATTTAACAAACATCCCTGGCTACCGGTTATTCAACGCGAGTAAGATACAAGATCGTGGAAGCCTCTGTTCCCGCCGATCTATTTATCTCGATCGCTTCTCGCCCCTAATTTGTCCACTTATAATAAGTGACCGTTTCGTCCTTATCTCTGTCCTCGTCGCACGCCCTTAGATCCCTTAACCGGTCCCTCGCGCTCTCTCGCGCCGTCAGAGAGATGACACGAAGCGTGTCCATGGAGGCCGGAAGCACCCTTCCCTTCGTTTTGCATATTAAAAAGAGAACGCGATCGGAAAATATCAATCAACTTGGGTAAGAGGTGGGCCGTTTGGCCGTCGCGGGGCAAACGATGGCCAATACGAGCTGGAACGCGTGGATCGACGCCGATTAACGATTTACCGATCGCGACGTGGGCGACTGGCAGACACGGAAGCGATGGCAAATAAATCAGCAAATAGTAACCAAGTAAATATTCCAGGGGCCCGAAATTAACCATCGGTGAATGGGTTTAGGGGAGGTCATGACGGCCGCCACGGCTGTTTGTTCTGCCTGGGAAATGACAGCTGACCCGCAATCCCAGTGCTCGGAATCGCTTTGCTGAGGGACGCAGAGGGTGGCAGAGGGTGGCGAGAGAGACGCGAGAGCCCGGCTGAACTCTTCCGACGCGATATAATGGCACGAAGAGCCGACGGAAATGAATCTTTCCTACATACGTTCGATTACAGAGTAATGCACTTTTGATTATCCAACGGCAGCGCGATCTCTCGATCCACCGATCGGGGATTATTCCGGAAAAAAGGCTCCGCGTTGCGCTCGCATGTGGCTCTGGGAATCGACATTTCAATTTATAAGACGGAATTTTTAACTCTTAGCTCTCCAACAGTCATAACGACGAAACGAAATTTTCAATTTCGAAAAATAAATTGATTACGCGGCTACTAGGAGAAAATTCGCGAAGACAAGTAACCTAAGCTATAACATCGAACGTGGAATTTTTAATAAAACGTTTGAAAATTATCGCTTAGGCCACTTAGACCGTAGTGGTGACAAGGATGAAACGAAATTTTCAATTGCGAAAAAGAAATTGATTACGCGACTACTAGGAGAACATTCGCGAAGAGAAGTAGCCTAAACTATAACATCGAATGTGGAATTTTTAATGAAAATTTTGGAAATGAACGCTTAGACCGTAACAATGACAAGGATGAAAAAAAATTTCAAAAAAGAAATTGATTACGCGAATACTAGGAGAAAATTTGCGAAAGCAAGTGACCGATGTTATAATGTTGACCATATAATTTTTAATGAAAATTTTGGAAATGACCGCTTAGACCACTTAAACCTTAGCAGTGACAAGTATGAAACGAAAATTTCAATTTCGAAGTTTCGAAAAAGAAATTGATTACGCGAATACTAGGAGAAAATTTGCAAAGGCAAGTGACCTAAGCTATAACGTCGATCATATAATTTTTAATGAAAAGTTTGAA